GAAATTGCAAGATGCCGATCCCGACAATTGCTAGAATAACTAGCATGAGGTTCAAGAGAGTCAAAGCAGCATCATGATAGACCATGTTGACTGTCAATGCCTCAGCGACCATGCAAAGGTCCCAAAGCAGGCTTAGGACAGGAATAGAGTCGACAAAGACATAGTCCGAAGGGCTATGCACTGCGACTCCAACCCAAAGACACATTGTGCCGACGCCACCGATGACGACCCCGCTGGTGGCACTTAAGGCGTGCGAGTACACATACCTCCAGGTGAGGTAGGCTTCTGCTGCCACCCACAGCAGACCAACAAGCATCGCGAAATTGGGATGCCAGTGCCGAAGCGCATGAAAAATAGCAATGAAAGCGACTTCCAACAACAGCAGAGACGGCCCAGCAGCAATCGACCCCGCCGTCAAGGGCAGCTTTGCAACCTCCACCTCATATTTTTCGCAGAGAAGCTGCAGAAGAAAGAGCTGGCAGTTATGAACATGCAACTCGTAGAATGCATCGCCAAGTGGTAGCTTACTTGCCCGTTTGCGAAGATCATGAGGTGATGTGTCCTTTATACAAATTAGGTCCAGGCAAGTGAGAACACCGGCAGACTTCGGCAATTGGAGCTTAAACTTTCCTGTCATGATGAAGTTTTTTCTGCCGCTCCTGTGGAGGAAGCCGAAGAGGCAATGCTGGACAGATTCTCGTAGCTGATGTGGCCAGATGTGCTGAAACGGCCAGACGTACTCAACAACTGCGCGAAGCTTGCTGAATTCCCCACACCAGTGCTCATCCTCCTCGTCGTCCTGGTCTTCCTCCCCACGACGGAAGTCTGGGCCCGGAGGTGGTGGAGTACGACAACCTGTTGCAAAGGAGTACAAATGGCGCATCTTGTAGCGACTTTGGAGCATCCGGTAGCCCATGAGCTCCATTGAGTAGACTTCGCCCTTCTCGAAGATCCACAAAGAGCACCAGTGAGATGCAAGACCACCGCCAATGATTAGAACATATGCTTTTTGCAGCTCCGAGTTTACATCGTCATCGGGTAGCACGATGTCCTCATGACTCGGAACTGTTGCCGTTCTTACTAGGCCTGTTGGTGCCATGGCTATGAGGCCTGCATCATACTGCGTCTCATGAAGGCCAGCACAGATGGCTCATCACCAAATTTCCATCAGGCTCGCATGAAACAAGGGCAAATGGCATCTTCGAATATGTTATAGTAAATATTATAGTATACTTCTATTCAACTATACACGCACTCGAAGGCGATGCGATTCCGAATCAAACCAACCTCTACAGGAATACACAGTTGTTGGGAGCCTAATGGCCTAATGCTATGGGCTAGAAGACGCCACACCATCAGAATCAATGCCTCTGTCGCCTGAACTACCGCATTCAGTGCAACTTCCACATCCACCACTGGACACTAACTGCACTGAACCGTCACAGCAGGCACAAAAGAGCAGCTGCCTTGGACTGATCATGAACATCCGAGGGCTAAGACTTCCCCATCCCAGCTTGAGTCTTGCAGAGCTCTGAGCTTTGGGGTTGCTCTACCGGTATTGCGGGCTTCAAGGGCTTTATAGGTGCCGCACACTATATGGTCATGGCTTGCAACTGCGGTTGGGAAGATTGAGGGCTGAGGCGCCGGAGCTCTTCCAAAGAACCTCACGGGCTTTAGCCCCCCTTTCCCACACTGAGAACTCTGACCAGGGGAGCCTGAGTCAAACTGCAAAGCGCCACCCAAACCCTCCAACTCGAAACCCGAAAGTGTAGACAAGTCCTAAACGCTGACTTGTAACCACAAAGTAAGACAGGAAAGGGCCTCAGATACAGGATCTGAACTAAGGCGGGGGCCACACGGGGTCCCAAGCATACTGTAAAACCCTAAACCCCTGATTCACAAGCCTCCCTCCCTGAAAGGGGCTATCATATAAGGCACAGGGATCCTAGTAAAAATGGCCCTTAAGAAGGGGCCATCTGCTAATCACGGAACTACGTTATGGGGGGGTTCTAAAACCCCAAACTTTAAACCCTGAAACGTCTTGATGATGTGAAGAAATCAGGGCGGTTGAATCTCTTGATTTGGCTGGCAAATTCGGCTCGCCGAGCTCATGTCGCGGAGCTTCATGAAAGGTTTAAGAGCCCACGAACATCCGAAAGCTTCAGGGTTCGGAGTTTCTAGGCTTTAGGGCTTAGGGTTTAGGCCAGTATGTACCTAGACCATGGTCCATCAGGTCCCGAAACCTGGCACCCTTCCTGCGAGGACGACGGGGTCGGGTTTAGGGTTTAGAGGGCTTAGACAGATAGATAACTTAAATTTTTAAACATCGAAGCTTATACCAGTACGTGGGGACTTGTGCGCGTAGGCTTATGGACCCACGCCGGTTCTTGAATTGGAGGTTCAGGGTGCCGATTGGGCCCTGAATTTGGACCCACCCACGCTGAGACTTGTGCACTTGAAGCCTACGCCATACATCCCAGACCCTCGACCGTCACTAAACACCTTACATCCTAAACCTATAAACCCCTAAACCTATACACCCCTAAACCCTAAAGGCCTGAACCCCTAAACCCTAAACGCCTCAACCCCTAAACTAACCTTGAAGCGCAAGAACAGAGAGCCTGAACTCCTAAACCCGAAAATCCCAAGCCTCAGCCTTCAAGCTTCGATGCGTTTGCAGTCTCTAGGTCGGTGCTTGGGTTTTTTGGGGGTTCATTTTCATGAGGCTTCGGGTATAGAGAAACTTTAGGGTTTCGAGTTTAAAGGAACTTTGTGGTTTCGGATGTTGCAGCTGCTTTCGGGATCCGGATTTCAAGGAGCTTTATGGGGAACTTTAGGGCTTAGGGTTTAAGGTTTAGGATCTAAGGTGTAGGGTTTAGGATCTAAGGTCTAGGGTTTAGGCTCTAAGGTTTAGGGTCTAGGGTCTAAGGTTTAGGGTTTAGGGTTTAGGTTCAGGGTTTGAGGCTCTAAGGTGTGGGGTTTAGAGTGTAAGGCTCCCTTTGGGACAACTTGGACCCGCCAGGCCTGGCTTGGTGCCTTTGAAGGACTCACACGGCTCGAAGGTGGGACCGGCCTTAGTGCCGCTTGGATTATATGGGGGCTTTCTAAGAATTAGGGGAACCTTAGTTTTGGGGTCCTTATAATAAGGATCCTACCATTTAGGGTACTATATTGGGGTCCCCTGTTTTCGGAAACCCGCATATGGGGGCCTTTAAGCTTAGTGGCTTAGTGCAATATAAGAGTATACAGTAAACAATAGCAATCAATATATATATATATATATATAATATATATATAAAGGGGCTCTAAGGAATAGGGCTGGTATTTTGTCTGTTGGGGCTTACGGTCTAGGGTTCTATAAAGTTCTTTCCCTCCTTATAGGAGCAGGCTGTAGGGGTTGTACAGGGGGGGGATGAGGGTTCGAGTCCGAATTCCATAACCCTTCCAGGTTCTCAGACCCCTGAGGCAGCAAGGATTGATGTGAAACCCCAAGCCCCCCCCCCCCCTCCTTGCTGCCAAAAGTCCATCGCTTGCTGTATTGGCTTCACCTGGGTCTGCACCTTGACAGGAGCTACCAACAAAAATCCATGAAACTTAAGTGGCATACGGTTTGGGAGTTGGTGGGTTTGAGACTCAAGTGTTGTTCGAAGGAAGCCCTTCACCTTTATGCCCGACAGCCAGCTATTACCATCTCAGCAGGCCGAAACCTGAACAACCATCCGCCCAAATACCAACACCCAAGACTCTAGTCTTTTTTGGCACTTGCGCTCGACGACTGCAGCCGAGGGTGACGGGCCACAACCATAGCAACAATGCTCATTTCGAGCGTCATGTGAAGACAAAACTCTAGTCTACAGGAATACCCTTTGTTTATTCTCGCGCTTCCTCCTTTCCCTATAAACCCTAAACCCTACGCCACTGCGGGAGTTTTACTCTCTTACCCAGACCTACCTACCGCACTCCCTTAAACCCTAAACTGCCCTAAACCCTAGACTGCTTGAATCCTTAAGCATTTCATGGGTTAGGATGGTTAGGATCTTTCAATGGCGGCTTATAAGTGAGCACGAACCGTCCTCCAGCAAAACTCATGGACGAAAGAAACGCTCTGAAACTTACCGGACGGAACCGAGCCATGGAACGGCTTCCCGGATCCCAAGCACTGAACCCTACCTTCACACAACCTGAAACTTTGCGCAGCAACCCTTTTGCAATTAGGCTTGCTGGGCTCGAAGATCAGGCTTGACCCAACTCACAATAACTGAAATTCCTATCTTGAAGCCCGAATTCCTAAACCCGGAACTTTTGGTCTTAAAGCAGCCATTCAGCTTCCTCGAAGCCCTACAAACCCTAAACCCGGAACTGTTTTGTTAAAGCACCCAATCTGCAGCATCTTTCGCGGCTTCCTTGGATTTCTTAGCGGCATCCTTGACTGCATCCTGAACTTCGTCGGATTGCGCCTTGCTTTATGGGCTTTTGGGGGGCTTTGAGGATTTAGGGTTGAAGGTTTAGGGGTTTGGGTGCCAAGGGTTGGGGTGTAGGTGTTGATAAAATGTTTGTTGATTATGGTTGATAGGGCGTGTGGACTTTACTGCTTTACAGTTTGAAGGTTGTTTAGAGGTTGGGCTCCAGCACATGGAACCACAGCATGCACCCCTCCTGTGTGAATAGTTTTACCTGATCACACGAGACTACTATCTCCAAGGGCATGCCCTCACCTCCGGTCAGTGCTCCACAACAAAACGAACAAGCAGGTAGCAAAGGATCAGGCACAACAGTCGGCTAACCCCCAAACAGGCTGCCAGTGTTACAAAAGGCAAGTCACATTCCGGGGTGTGGGATGCAAGGTCATGGGATGTCTCGGACGCACATAAATGCTTGTTCGGATTTGGTCTGTAAGATCAAATGTGATGAAGCATTTCTTCTTGCAGGGTTCGTCTCGCGAGAAAAAAGGATGATGGAAGACTTTAACTAGGCTGGCTACAGAGTGGGGCGACTCAACCTCAAACCCCCGGGCTGATACAGTATTGCTTCGGCACCCATTCCACGGCAGCTTTGGCGGCATCCTTGGTCTTGTCCACGGCACCCTTTACCGCATCCTGCACTTCGTCGGACTGTGCCTGGGCATGTGCTGGCACTTGATGTTGGCTGCGGACGCTCTGTGTTACTAGGTCTTAGATTGGTATTTGGGGATGCCATGAAAGGCTTCTATGTGTTGACTGGCATGTCTGTCGAAGAAGAAGCTGTGGATTGGGGGGTTTCTGGATGCTTCCAACAAAAGGGTTCACCCCCCACCCCCGGAGCGGATCTTGGCTTTGAGCTTCGGCACCCATTCCACAGCAGCCTTGGCAGCATCCTTGGTTTTGTCCACGGCACCCTTGACGGCATTCTGCACTTCGTCAGATTGTGCCTGGGCATGGCAAGGTCTGGCACGCCTTGTTGTTGGGTCGTCGCAGCTTGGGAATCACAGCAGGTCTTTCAGCGAGCAGTAATTAGGTCGCAACACGCATCGGGTTCGGATTTATTGTCATGTAGCGTTGGATTGGGGGCATTCGGGTGCTGATCGGGCCTATGGGACTCCAAGGCGAATGCACCATATACATCTTGAAGCTGGCGTTTGGGACGGATAGCAGCGTGAACATGCGCTGCAGTGATCACGGCGACGTTCGCTTCAGGATGTTTTTGGATATGTCGCTTCAGGATGTGAAGATATGGGGAGTCTCAAAAAACACGGCACTCCGAAAAACGACCCAAAGCCAACCTGCTGGTTGTTCTTTCCAAAACCCCTGCTTGGACCAAACTGTGAATCCTGGAAGCCCAAAGCCTGAAATCGTGAGGACACGAGACGCTCCCGCCCCGCCCCAAATTCAAAAGGAGGCACCCACGCCACGGCACCCTGGATGGCACTTTTAGCTCCGGCTACCCCCATCTGCAAGGCATCGGCGAGGGCGTCTTTGCTCTCTTTTTGTGGGGGCCACAGGATCGGCTGCTTGGTGATGATCACAAGGTTGCATCCTGGAAAGGTGAGTCTTATGTATGTATGTATGTATGTATGTATGTATGTATGTATGTATAAATATTATATTATATATATGTATATATATATATGTAAACTATATATATATATTGACTGATTGATTGTGTACACGCCTGTTCGTGTGCGTGTGCGTGCACGGGTGTGTGGGTGTGTGATTGTGCATTCACCGTCATCTCATTTCGTGCTGTGATTCACGCGGGTCTCACACAGCGTGGGCAGGACCCAAACCTTCCCGGATCATCTCATTCTGTGTCGTTTTGCTTTGTAGTTTGGCATGCCACTTTTCTATGTCTGGCATGCTTGGTACCAACAATTTCATTTTCGTTGTCACCATCATGGTTTTTTCGTTTCATCATCAGCAACATCATCCGCTTCATGTTGCCAACCAAGAGTACAAATACGAACATCCTGAGAAAGTGTCATACAACTATGTTCTCCGTCATTGTGCCGTGGTGGTGTCCATTGAGGCAGTCCTCGGTGAAGGGATCCGCTTACGCTCGCCCCCGGGGTCGCTCTTCTGCTCTCTCAACTATAACTCCCAGAGCTTCTTCTATGAATGTTTATGGAGCCCCTCATGTCCAGTTTGCCGGACATTCGTACAGCGCGTCATGTGCACAGGACGGCATACGCAAGGGTTGCTGGTATGTCTAGAACGACCGGTGACCGCATTTAACTTGCTAGTCTCGAGTGTTCTGACTCCGCACAGCTGTCAGGGTCCGCATACGCTTCTGACAGGGTAATGGCTGACCTGGTAATGTGCTGTCAAGGTCTACTGCAGTAAGTAAAGGCCGACTGCTGTAAAGAGCTAAATGAGCTAAATGCATCTGCTTCAAGCATGAATGGGTGGCGCCCCAACTTCGGTGGGGCCGTGTGTCTGTGTGTGCGCACTGTTCTTGCGCGTGGGCTCACGGGGGTCATGCCCCTTTTCTTTTTCGTTTTGATGTCTCATGCAGGGGGACGGAGGGGTGTAGGCCGTCCAACGAGCTCTCCCGTACACCTCTGGAAAATGCTGCATGGCCTGACCCATTTTCATTTCGCCGTCATCTCATGTCATAGTGTCTCTCACACGGCGAGGGGAGGGCAGGACCCAGAGCCTCATGGATCATCTCATTCTGGCTTTGTTTTGTCTCTATGTTTTTGTTTATGTCTGGCATACTTGGTACCAAAGTATCCACTGATTTTCGTTTTCATCGTCATCATCTTCATTTGTGACACTCACACTTGGACAAGCCTGGCAAGGTCTGCAGCATACTGCTTCAAAGACGCACGTCAACGGCCACGTTGCCCATCTTCATTATCATCGAGACTCGCTCGCTCTCTCTCTCTCTCTCTCTCTCTCTCGCTGTCTGTATTTGTCTGTGTGAGAGACGAAGGGTACTTGTGAACCATGTTTGCTTAATTTCTATATACATATATAAAAAATACATATACAAAGACACATAGATACTAGTATATAACGCTCCGAAGCCCTGTTCATGCGCGCACTGCAGCACAGGGAAGCATTTGGTGTTTTAGATAACACTAAAAACACATTGTCATTGGTTTGCCTGGGTGTGGAAATCACGCGTTTCTGCATCAAAACGTGTTCAAACTCGAAAAGTGGCCTCGACGCTGCTGCCAACAAATGCTAACATTGCAATTGTGTTTTGTTCGGTCTATCCGTAGATGGGTGATTGTCAGACAGTGTGAAAATCTCGAGGGATTTGAGCTTGTGACGTTGCTCGACCAAAACATCCCACAAAGTTGAAAAGCAACAAAAATCGGAGGAGCATTTCGCATCGGAAACATCGGGGCGTGGAGGCCCTGGAGTAAACAACACGACGAGTTTTGTGGAGCGTAGCCACAAAACGCGAGGAATTTCTGAAAGCACAGGCGCACGAACGGGTAGTCGTATGTTGCAAGCGCAGGTGCAAATTTTCTGTAAGCTGAATCTTGAACTGAAGCAGTTGCGGTATCTTCGAAAAGTGTGGCAGTCGCGGCATTTCATGACTTTGGCGTGTTATTTTGGTGTTATTGTTTCATGTTTTTGTCTCATTGTTTGGGGGGGTTGCGTTTTGTTGGCATGTCTGACTGCTTAGCTAGGAGTTATGTGCACTGAGGAGTCGCGATATCCCGGGCATTCGGAGCACGGAGCAACCCCTTATGTCCACAGCCTAAATATGCTTATGTTTTCCTTCAACAGCTTATGATCAAACCCTCTACCTTTACACGGCATGTGCTAAATCTTAAATGCCACAATAGCAAGTTGAAGAAGCATACCCAATTCCTCCAACACAACACTTCAAGTCCAACAAACCTCGACCCTACACGTGCAAGCTTCGGACATGACATGTTCTTAAGCAGTACGGCTCCATGAAGTGCACAACAAGTCCGGGACATGACGGAACTCCTCCTCCCCCCCCTCCACCCCTTCCGCCCAAACTCCTCGCAGTGCAAAAGCCCTCCGTGCACTGGTACACCCGAATCCTGATCTAAACCCTGGGAAAAAAACGAAGCGAAAGGCTCCTAAAACCTAGCGCTAGCTGCCCGTGAACAGGTCTTGAGAAGGAGCATATGTATATATATATATGTACATATGCATGTATGTATGTGTGTGTGCATGTGCATACATGCAACAGTTGATGTACGCGTACACACACAGACATATCCATATATAAGATGAACAAGGCAGAAGGCGATGATGGGTTGAAGGATATTTAGCAGTCAAGGTAATGAGAAAGGCAACAACGACCATGTACTAGACTACGACCTCGCTTTGTTGTTATACCCGCTGGCCTGGCGGTGGTCCCCCTTCACACGGTGGTTCTCCATTTTTCTTGAGCTGCAAAGGTGTTGACCATGTGTCCTTCCAGACGTTTCCCTTCTTGCCATCATGGACTTTCACGAACTCGATCCGCATGTCTTGCTGGATGCCGGACTTCTCCAACCTGCTTGTCAGCTTTCCTTTCAGGCTTTTGAGCCCGCAATCGTAACATAACACTTTGCAAGTGCAAACGGGGCAAGCTAAGCACAGCGTAATGAGGCAGCAGCCCACTGCGCTTTGATCAACCTGATCTTTCGTTTCCGTGACAGTTGAGCCGTTCAACTCGTCCTGCAGGCCTTTAACAACATTGTTGTAGTCGTCTGCGCTGACGAATTCTCCCATCCAGCCCTCGTAAGATGGAAACTTGTACTTGTCCTTGATGTACCAGCCCAGGTTAAACCAAAGCTCTCGAGGATTGTCTGGATTCTGGTATATCCTTCCGGATGCCGACATGTCGACGGCATCGGGCATCTTGGCTGGTCGCTGCTCAGCCTCGGCTGCACTGCTCACCTGGATTGTCACGGTTTTTCGAGGAAATGGCTAGCAGCACATACACCGCGTGCAACACCATGGAATCAATCTTTGACCTTGCAAGATTCTCTGAATGGCGGTGATGCGTGTAAGTCAGTCCTAATCGGGCTTAAGGCAGCCAGTCTTGTAAAGTCGGAAGCAGAGGGTAACGTAACCATGCCAAGCACTGCATCTACAACCAGAGGGCCGGCAAACCCCATTAGCCGCCCGACTGCGAAGTGAATTATACAGCCTTCCCCCCTTTTGCGATTCTTGAAACAAGGGACCCACCAAACCCCAACAGTGGGATCTTGAGAAGGACCCGTAGAGATGGTAATATATGGGTTTGAGCATCAGAATATGCGGTTGGGGAGTAGCCTTCTCTACTAATATGGAGCCTATTTATACACATATAGGAGCACGCAGCTTATGCTTGAATGAAGGTATTTAGAGTTTGTAAGTAGCTTCGGGCCTGTTTCCGGTCCAGCAAATGCCCGTTAAACCTTTTGAGCTCGTACTTAAACTGAAATATTTTCCATTGCTCAAGTTTTCGTCAAACAATACATCATCGAAGTCGACGGGGTTAGGTTTTTCACAGTGTAGTTCACTAAACCTGTCAACACGCATACCATAACGTGAAGCACAACACTTAACTTAAGTCATCCTCACTCTCTATGCCCAAAATCCCCTGCATCCCCGAACCCTAAACCCTGAAAGAGCTCCATGTCGGGAAGGATCTCATAGGCCTGCATCGATGAGAAATTGCTTTGGGCCATGTAGCTTCCGGATTCCATGGGCTCTAGAGTTCAACAGGTTGCAGTTTAGGGATATATGGTGTGGGGTCGAAAAGTTGTTGGGTTTAGGTGCGCAAGGTTATTTAGGGGCTTCGTGTTTGGGATGTTGATATAGCCGTAGTATAGTCGCTGTAGTACTGCTATCGTAGAATCATAGCATTATGGTTTGGGATTCTTTGCCGCAGGTTAGATAGAGGCTCCGACAGTGAGGCTTCGGGCTTCCGGGTGGGGGGGCCAGCTGCAACAGCGAGACACGGGGCCATGAGGGGCCAGCAGTAGCACTACTAGTAGTAAGTAGGAGTAACCCTAGGAGTAGTAGCAGGAGGAGTAGGGATAGGAGCAGGAGTAGGACTAGGAGCAGAGGCAGGAGTAGTAGTTGACAGAAGTAGTAGTACCAGTATCAGTCGTAGTAGTAGTCGCGGTCGTAGTGGTAGTACGCAGTACGCAGTAGGCAGTATGCAGTAGCAGTAGTCGTAGTAGTAGTCGTCGTCGTCGTAGGAGCTTCGGAGTACTGATAATACCATCTCCGTTTTGTTGTGTATTAAACACACCCACGATCATGTATACATGTTTCGGCACAAGTCACAGTACAGATCGAAACCCGCTTTATAGTAAAACCAGGGTTCGAGTTTCCATTTGGGGGGGAGCCGCTAAGTTGGGAGTTCTTCCATGTTGAACTGGGTTCTTCTTAAGGAAGTAAAGTTAAGGTGCCATAATGAAAAAGCCGATTATGAGCTATAAATCCCTATTAAGGTCACGTAAATTTAGCCCCTTTACAAGAGCCCAGTCTTGAGCGCTGCATCTCACACCCGACACACCCAAAATCTCAACTAAACGAAACTAAATCCTACCTGTAGTCTCCATTGTAGTTCCCTGTTTTGGTTAACCAATTTCATATGATAGCCTAACCCAAAAAATGAACTACAATGGAGACTCTCAGTAAATTTTGCACCTTAAACCCTAAATCCTAAACCCTAAGCCTCTGACCTTGGCAAGGTTGGGAGGTCTCGCTTGCGCAATCCAGCGCAAGTGCAGCTGCAGCAGCCTGCCACATCTTCCCAAGGCTAGAGCATCCTACGGTTGGGTGCTTCAAAAGGGTTATGATGGTTTAACTAGGATTTCTGGAGTTTTGGAGTGAAGGGTCGGCGCTCTGGGGCTAATTAGGTGACAGTAAGACCCTCGCAGGGTTCCGGGTTTTCGGACCATGTGTATGGGTCTCCAAACATGATTCTAGAGTGCAGCGTGCCTTACATGTGCATTTGCAGAGAATGAGGGCCCCTAATATGAACCCCCACACGGGAAGATCCTTGATGTAAGGATGCCCGGAAGTGCGAATTCGGCCTGACCGCCTAAGGAGACCAGTGTAGAAAGGTGCCAGTGAGTTCGAAGCTGAGGACTCAAGACTCATCTCTAGGACACGGCGCGAATGACCTGCGCGGCATGAACGTCCTTCCGCCAAGTCCGAATGCTAAACTCTCAACCCATGCTCTAAACTGTCATCCCTTATAAACCTTGATTTCCATACCTTCAACCTGACATCTGTGATAATCCCAAGCAGAGCCTCAAAGAAACGCTCGGGTCCAACTTTAGACCTGCTGTGCTCCCTTTGGCCACGTCCTGCCTGGATAAAGGATGGGCTTAGGCCAAAACTGTCTGGAGGACTCAAAACCTTCCTTACGAAGTCCTCCATCCTACATAGTGATGGGAGAGGCTCCAGCAAGTGCAGTCGAACGTCTCTGGGGCCACGAAGGAGACGCTAAAGCTTCAACCCCAAACCTGGACCCTGAGCCCTCAATCCCCATGCATGTGGGACATCCCTCTTCAGCATGACTACCTTGTGTTTTCACCGTCGGGACTGGAGCATACCTGCGTTCCTTATTAGAAGGGCTGCTCGCCTGGGCAATGTCATCAGCAAAGCGTGGTTCCACGCGTTGTCTGCAAAGTCCTGCCATCGCTACAAGTCGCATTCACAGTCAGGTTCGGCACAAGCATACACCACCGTTATCATAAGAGCCGATTTCACCACCAAGACTGCCACGGCGGCCAGCGCTGCTACAGCCCTAGCTCCACAACCCGCAGCCTTTGCAGCAACAGCACCAGCACGACCGCCACCGCCACCCACACCACCTGTCCCTACCGCCGTCACCCACGATCACCAGCACGAACGTCCCGTCGCTATCGGCATCCTTATCATTTTCAGCCTTTTCATCAGCCTTATACGTTGCCAAACGATCCTTCAAATCCCTGCACCACAACCGCCACGATCGTGGTCATCTGCATCAACAATTGCATCTTAGTCGGCAAAAGTACTAGCACCGCATCCTTGAATCGTAGTGACAGTCATGCCGGAAGCACACTCCTCCTCCTCCTCGTCATCATCATCATCATCATCATCGTCTTCGTCATCATCGTGATCACCATCACCATCAACATTATCTTCATCATCATCAACAACAGCAGCAGCATCGTCGTGGTCGCCGTCATCGTCAAACTCATCATCACCATCATCACCATCGTCATCACGATCATCATGATCATGATCATCATCATCATCATCACCATCGTCGTTACCATCATCATCGTTATCACCAGCAGCAGCATCATTATATCCGCCATTGCTATCAGGCTCACCACAGTCGACATCATCGCCATGATCAGCGGCCATAAAACCAACACAAGCATCACCACGATCATCAGAATTTTCTCCCCACTATAGGTATACATAGTTCAACCAGCATCGTCATCATCTACTTCTTCACCAGCATCGGCACAGTCAGGCCCCTCAACACATCAAGGTAGACATCATCAGCTCATCACTTATCACCACCATCATGATCAGGACCATAAACATGAGCTGCTGCGCGCTGATCATTCGCATCGCTACCATGACCATCATTGATCATCAACAACAACATCATCACCGCCATCATCATCGCCCGACCGATGACCACATGCTCGCGGCCATTGTCAGCATGCTCTTCACCTCCTTCTTGCTGCTCATCAGCAGCTTCCTAATGACACCATAGCCCTGAAGCCTAAACCTCCCAAAACCTTTCTTCTCCATGCACCCTGTCAATGCAATATGAAGCTCACCATCAGCAACTGAAGACCTGGACCGTCCGAGTCACATCTTTGCCACCAGACATCTTCAATTAGGTCTGCTATCCAAAAAGACATGAGCGGGACATGAGCCTCAATCGTTCAGTACCGCATATTCCAAAACTACATCATCTTGTGTTTCAGGCACGGTTAACAAACTGGCAATCAGCCGGCTATGGGTCAACAGAGGTGCTGCTACCCGCAACATGCAATCAAGGCTTCGTATTGTCCATTGTGGGAAATGCCCCTACCTGCACTCGAAGGTAATGAGGCTATGCGCTTGTCTTTCGGGGCAGACTCCTTGAAATATGGCATCTCAGCAACGAGGGCTTGGACTCCGACTGTGGATATTTAAGTTAGGGGGTACCATGTAGGATGGTGACAGAAGAGGGCTGTACTCTTTCGCGGAATCCCCAAAAGACTGCACTGAAACCAACAGAGCGTTCCTGCATGCGCTGACGATCCACAGACAGCAACCAGGATGCCTGAATGGCACACAGCTGCACGCAACTTCATTCGTATTTACTAGTAAAACAGTATTTGTAATTGTATTAAAATATTAGTATCAGTATGGCCTTACATGGCAAGGGCCGTCGACATTCCTGTGTTCGTGACTAAATCGGAGTCCACGGGCCGCTGTAACCATTCGTCTCTGCCCTGCGGGTTGGGCCAGGGGAGTCGGGTCGACGACGGAATGTCTTACACCTGATGCCAGGATGGTGGGGCAACGAGAAGTATCGGGGTAGGGGTTTAGGGTTTAGGGGTTTAGGGCCGGGCCAATCCCAAGCCCTAAACCCCAAATCCTAAACTCTAAGCCCCAGGCAAGCTTGAAACTCAGTTGCCCGAACCGTGTCAACATGTTCAGGATAGGGGCCTGAATAATTAGAGTAGGGATTTCGGATATCAGACTACAATACAGACCACCGTCTTTGAACCTCAGCTGCGAGAAAGCCAACTTCTCCACACTTCCGGCACAAGCTGCCTTAGCCCCTTACCTAAACTGGACCTAAACCCTAAACCCTAAATCCTAAACCCTGAACCCTGAACCGCAATCCCTGACCCTCAAACCTTCAGCCTGGGGTTGTCTTGCTGGAACCCATGTGACGAAATCGATGGATCGTTGCCGAGAGTCCCTATCCCTTTGGTCCCACTACAACTTAGGCCAAAGTTTCGGATTTGAAGCATTGCGTATCAGGGTTTATGGGTCCAGGGCTGTTTGAGTGTTTTCTCTCCCGCAAAGCTGATTGGGTCGCACTGCAGGACACTGGTGAACCTTGTGGCATGTAGGTGCAAGTTTAGGATGCATAGGGCATAGGGTTTAGCGCGCAGCCTGAATGTGCCCGCCAATGTGGGTCCGGAGCTCCGTTGGCAGAACCTTGAGTCGACGGCTTGAGGGGTTTAGGGTTAGTGGAGTGCTCGAAATGGTGTTCTCTATTGTGAAGGTAGCCTCGATATGGCTGATGCTTCAGAGTCTAGATTTTCAGGGTATGGCGTGTCGAGTTCAGGGTTTAGGGATCGGCCTATAGGGTTGTCCAGGTCTCTCCAGTTGTCCTAAAAAGAACTGTCAATTGACATCGTAATTAGAGCAGCTGCAGTGCAGCTTCCAGTCACAATTGTGCGAGAGATGCCTTCCCCCAACGACTTGACGCCATACACAAGACAGTAATACATAGGGACTTAATACTTACCTATGCTATTTTGGGGGTTCCTTATTATATTGTTTATAGCATAACATACCCCAAAACCTTATTTTATCATTAACGCCCCTATACTACCGCGGACCTATAACACAGCCGTCATAGAATTTCGCTCAGTTCCACAGTCCCCTCGCACTCAGCAGCCCTGAATGGAAAACAGCCTTGTCACCCGACGCTGCCGCCGCATATAATCAACACCACTGAACCGCTGCCATCAGCATTTCCCTCGAACCCTACTGTAAGTCTAAACATACCCTGAATCGTTCAGGAACGTACTCTACGTCCCTAAACCCTAAACCCTGAACCCAAAACCCCAAATTCCTTTTTTTGGCGCAGACTTGTGCATGCCCACCCAGCTCTGAGAGCTGCTGCACTCGTGGCAGAAACCCGAAGCATCTGAAACGTCTGAACGGCGGAGGAGCCTGTCGAACCTGGAAGCCGTCCACACCTTAAAAACAACAACTCCCTAAACCCTAAACCCGATTCCACTGAACCCCAAACCCAAAATTCCTTTTTGAAAGAGGTCTCTCTGAATTCTGAAACCCTACACCCGATTCCAATAAACACCAAAACCTGCAATTCCTAATCCCTAGACCCGACAACTGTGATGATGCCTAAGTTCCCACCCGGCCTGCTTAGGCCGTTCCCACCCAGTACCAGGGCGGTCAGACACTGAAGAAACACGTTTTACACCCGTACTGGGTAAGACAATGGAGCCTATAGAGAGTGGACGAAGAGAGCCCCTCCGGGCTCTTCCCGTACATCGGGAGGCACAGCTCTGCCTCCAGCCACCCTTGTGGTCAATCACTACAATGTACATTGATTCTCCCCTTGATGGGCAAAGCCTCACAACGACGTCCCAGATTCCTGGCCCCCCCTGACTCCCCACCACCTCGGCTCTGTTGCTCTGCCTGACCAGCCTCCCCTTGTGGCCGCCTTTTGTTTGGCCTTTCCTGGTTGCCCTGCCCTGCCCTGCGCTGCCCTTGAAGAAATCCCAGTTGCAATGGATTCTTTAACGACATCGTGCTTGGGTCGCTAGGCGCAAGATGCGCCGCCACCCACAGATCCCTGGAAGTGGGGTGGCGCCATCGGTGCATGGATACTCAGCCCCTTGCCGGAAGACACCCTAAACCCTAAACCCTAACCCTAAACCCTAAAATATTTAGGGGGGGTTCAACCCCAGAGGTTGAGATCTCCAAGGACCCGAACCCACGATTAAACGGGCACCCTCAAAACCCCATGCAACCTTATTGGTTTATAATTTTATAATCGGTTTAGGGTTTAGGGTTTTAGGGTTTCGGGTTTGAGGGTAGTTCTCTAAGTTCGGGTCCCTGTTTAGGTCCCCCGGTCCCCCAAATACAATACGGCACCCTTTTTACAAGTACCGAAAAGGCACCCTCGAATTATTGCCCTAATTTAGAAAACTACCCATATGCCTTACATTTAATCCCTTCGCCCCCCCCCAAACAAGCCTGTAACTGTAAACACCTGAGAGCCAAACATGAGCCATAAATCCGCAAACTTGAACCTTCAGCCCGAAATATAGTTGTAGGAAACCACTGCTCATACCCACTGATGTTGGTAATATCCGTATACGTGTTGGTAAGCTTAACTTATACCATGGCATGCGTACGCACACTTTTCCTATCAGAGCACTAGTGCAGAGGTCATGTACATAAAGGATGAAAGATTACACGTGCATATTCTACAGGAAATTATAAGCCTCAAACACCCCAAAAACTAGAATTATGCCCTCGGTCCCTGCACTGAGAGATCCTATGAACTCCTAAACCCTATACTGTACTTTTTAAAGCCCCTTTTCCCCAACCCTAAACCCATCAAACCCCTAAACCCTAAACCCCTAAACCCCTGAACCCCACACCCCCCTTTTCAGAATCCGGGGAGGCGGCAGCATGCATGGCTCCCCGACCGGAGCCATCGGCTGCAAGTGGGACAGGCTCTGGGCCTGGGGTTCACACAGTTTGAATTGAGGTTTAGGGATTAGGGTTTAGGGCTTTAAGCTGAGGTTCAGTAGGGTTTAGGGGTTCAGGGAGGGATTAGGGCTTGGGGCTTTAAGGCTTAGTAGGGTTTAGGGGTTTAGGGGGGGATTCGGGATTAGGGATTTCTCCCCTCCAACTTCAACTTAAATCAACTTAGGGATTTTTAGCACTCGCGCAAAACCCAGGCGAAGTCTTGGCGAGATTTGGGATCAGGATTCGAATTCCCTGTTGGGGTCTTGTTAAACATGATCACTTTAAAACCCGTCTTAGGGTTTTCTTATAACAAAAATGTAAAATTGTATCCAACAAGGACCCAGGATTTGGTTTTGGGAAACACTGGGGGTTAATACCTAGAGGAAGGGTTTCCTTTCAGTGATTCAGGGCTCTGTAGAAAGGGGCCTTCAGGCGGTAGTGATAAGGATTTAGTGCATGGGTGGCTTTAATGACGTTAATGATTCTGATAAGGATGCCTAAGAAAATAGTATCGGCTATTGGGGCTAGAAACCCTAAACCCCTAAACCCCTAAACCCTAAATTGTATAATTCTATCGTTTGTCCTTGGATTGTGGGATTCGGGCTGAGCAGGATTTGGGGGAGCCTTTTGGGGTGCCGGCTTCGTGTGAGTTTGCTTTGTTCGAGAGTACTTGCGTTTAGGGTTTAGGGTAGGGACACATTTGGGCTGGGTTTTAAGATGTGTCTTGGACACTTTACCGCTTACGGATACACGGCTCATGTCTTGCACATTTACAACACGCACGTAACATGCCTAAACTTACTACGACCAACATCGACACACGATTTCAAGAGGACCGCCGGGGAAAGGGAGGCCTACAAGCGACCTTTCATCAGTCGTTGGAACGAATGGTGTCAGGACGCACTCTGCAACGAGATTCGCAGCGGTAATGCAGCTCTGGCCCCTTCCATAAAAGACATTTCCTGCTCGTCTGAGTCTGGCCCCCTCCTTGGCGGCCGCCTAGCAGACCGCAGCTGACGCGGGAGACCCAAAGTGCTGAACGCCGTCGTCAACATGGCGCTAGGCAGCAGGATCGTGCGCCCAGCCATGGAAGTACCGAAGGCGTGCCAAACCTGGAAAACACAGCTCATGGCCAACGCAAATCGCAAATAGGTCTTCGACACTCCAGCCCCCGTGTTGGCTGCGTCTGTGGGCAGCCGGACGCCAAAGCTGAGCCCTGTCTCAAAAAGAACCGTGTTGGCCAAGAACGCAGCCACCACACCAAAGCTGACCAGTGGAACCAGCGGACCCCAAACGATGGCGGTCTCCAGCAAGGTAGTGAAATAGGCATGCTGCTGCATCGATGCCAGGGACCCACTGGTCTTTCGGCCCAGGAGCCGAAGCTGTCGGCTTTCCTCGAGGGGCGAAGGGTCCTCCAGCTTGGAAGCACGCCAGGCCAGGACCATCACAAGGGGCTGCAGAGCAATCCGAATCAACAGCTTCTTTAGGATGAGAGGTGATAGACCTTCGATTAAAGACCTGCTGCAACGCCCCTCCCAAAGGTTCTGATGATTTGCGCTGCACAAGTCCGTCGTGGTATTCAGGATCTCGACTTCTGACTTTTCCCAGAAGTGCCAATTGAAATCCTCGTGCATCCTTGATTCTGGATCGCAGGTTGTCCACCACGTCTTCCACCCTGCCAAACAGTTTTCCTGCAAAGCGACTGCCGTGAGCAGTGGAAGGAGCCACGCCGCACACAACCTCAGTGACATCAGAAGCCTGTCCGCCCGGATGCCAGATAGACCTTTCAGGGTTTACCCGCTCACGCTTGGACTCTTATAGGCGAGGCGCATGTCCACAGCATCTGTTGTAATGAGAGTGCTTTCTGGATACTCGCAAATCAGCAATATACGAGGGTTTACTAGGTCGATCAAGGGTTGTGGGTTTGGAGAGATGCTGGCCAGGAGCATATATGGTATATTTGTCTGATCAGGCTGTCAGGGGGAAACCAGATGCAGAAACACTGTCGAAGTTGCTGTGCATTTCTACAGGACTGTGCTGAGCCTGCATACTTGATGGAGAGCCATCCTGCCAGCAGAACGTCGATGCCGACAACTAGCGCGGGGGCCGTGCGGTGCGCGATCTGCAGGATCGAGTCCGCCATCAACATGTTGTCCTTCGGAAGCGCCTGTACCAGGGTCAGCCAGGGTTGTGAGGGTTTAGGGCTTTAGCGGTTCAGGGTTATTTGGGTTAAGGGGTTTAGGGATTATAGGCTTTTTTATGTAGGGATAACTTGAAGCACAAAACTGACAAGCTGCGAGTCCAAGCTGATGTTTCTTACACAAGACTCACCCACGTCAAATGGTATGTGACCCCGGAAGCCATGTACCGCCAGCTCTGAAACCCTAGCTTCAACTTTATTATTGATAGCTTCCGATGTTCTTCAGCGAGGGGAGTTGCAACACGTCTAGTGGAGGAATGTTCCGCGCGGCTCATCTCAACCCAGGACTGACCAGCCTGTGCCACAGAAAAGAGGATGGAAGGCAGCGACATCATCGTGACTGGTACGATCCACAGGAGCCACGCTATCTTGTGTCTCAGCCATGATCCTGCTGGCGGCCCCCTGAATTCTTCACCTCGGCACTTCGGGGCAAAAGGAATTGGATCACCAAGGCCGCTGAGGGAGGTATCAGCTCCCTAGGCTCCCTCGTGAGAGTTTCGGCTTCTGCCTGCAACCTGCTTGGAAGCAACCCCTGATCTGGCGATGATTTGCAGCATTGGCCACGTGGCTCGGGAAGCACAGTGATCGACGCAGAGAAGAAGAAAGTGACGAGGCTCCAGACCAAAATCACGAAGAGCTCTGTTGCCGCCGATCCATCCAGGTAGGCCGCTGTGCTCCGCGCAAGCGGCTGGCCACACTCGTAGTACCTACCCTAAACCCGACTAGTAAACCCTCGTGGCCCTCGAGCCTGACGGCACAGGTCTGGCTCCAGTCTTCCAGGAATCTAAACACCCGTACCCTATAAGCCTTAACCTTCCAAACCCTAAACCCGGCGAAGAACGGTCTGCGATCCGGTAAACTGTAATAGTCAAACAAGGCACCGCGCACCGTGGAGGTAAGCTGGCAGCAGCAGGGCGCACAGTGCCGCAATCCATAACGACAGCTGCAGGCTCTGCATCGACGAGGCATGCACGTCTGGAGCAAGTACCTTCAGCCCAGGGACATCATGGGACCTGTAGAAAAGACTATCATTCTTCTGTTGCTGTATTGTTTCATATGATCACGTCCAAGTGCCCAAATGTTTCCAGAAAAGGCTTGCCGAGATTGGCGAAAGATCACCGCTGCACAAAGGAATGCCAATGGCAAGCCTGCTAACACAAGCACATTTCCCCACCAGATCTTGCTTGATACATATAAGAAATCCTGCAATTCCGCTTGGGGGATCCAGTTTGCAGTGATGCTGTCCCCCACACCAACCATGTTGCCCATTACCACAGTGGCACGCACGTCCTCGAGCCCCAGGCTTGCCGGCAGTTGGCAGCTGAAGCGGTTCCTGTGCAGTGTGGCCAAGGCCCCTGCGGGTAAGTTGAGTTTGGGCACAGTCCCGGAAAAATCGTTACCATGCAGCGTGAGGTAGTCCAGGGTGGTCATCGTCTGCAGGCCACTTGGTGGCGATCCCTGGAACCGGTTCTCATGCAAGGTCAGATACCTGATTCCTGCTGCATTGCTCCAGTGGAATGGACCCTCCAAGAAGTTCTTGTGAAGCAGGACTGCCCTGATGCCTAGAATTTCTTGACCAATCTCGTACGGGATCCGGCCACTGAGCTGGTTTTCGAAAAGAGCTAAATCCTCCAAGGAAGTGAGGCGGCCGATTGCAGCCGGGATCGAGCCGCTGAGCTTGTTCCTGGCCAACGAAAGAAACTTGAGTCTGGTCAGATTCCCCACTTCAGGCGGGATCGGGCCAGTGAGCTTGTTCCCAGTCAAGACAAGTTCAATCAGGTTAGGCAAATCGCCGATCTCACTGGGTATGGAGCCCTCGAGTTGGTTGCTGGCCAGTGACCTTTGCTGACTTCCGAATCCCTCCTATTAGCCTCCGTATCGCAAGAGCAAGGAAAACTAGGAAGCTGCGAAGTCCTAAAAGCCATCCAGAAGATACCCAAGTGACAGCACCTGCAAAGCATCTAGCCGGCAAATGACAGGCGGGATAGGCCCGGTGAGCTGGTTTTCAGAAACAAGCAACATTTCCAAGGAAGTGAGGCGGCCCATTGACGCCGGAATCGGGCCGGTAAGCTGGTTTCCGGAAAGATACAACTTTTCCAACGAAGTGAGGCGGTCGATTGACGCCGGAATCGGGCCGCTGAGCTTATTCTCGGATAAAGAAAGTACTTTCAGCTTGGTCATGTTTCCAAATTCAGGAATGGGGCCAGCAAGCTGGTTTCCGCAGAGCCACAGTTCTTCCAAAGAACCCAGATTGCCAATATCCACCGGGATCTGCCCGGTGAGCCTGTTGCCAGTCAGCCAAAGCGTGGTGAGCCCGGCCATCTTGCCGACCTCCTTGGGAATGGGCCCAGTAAGCTTGTTGTCAAAAAGGTTAAGGTATCTGAGGCGCGTCAACTTGTGGATCTCAGTGGGAATCTCACCGGTCAGCTGATTCATAGCGAGGTCAAGATTTTGTAAAGCAGTGAGATTGCCAAGCTCAGCCGGGATGTTGCCCTTCAGCTGCCTTCTTGACGCAGAAATCCCCACCACCCTTCCATCCTTGACCTCTACGAGCTTCTCTACGTCCTCGGCCCCCAAGTCCGACAGAAGCCTGAATGCAAGGTCAGGCTCCTCCTGAGCGACTGTGGCTGAACACATGCACAACCATAGGAGTCCATAGAGTTTGGCCATGGCAGTTCAAGAAGGACTCAAGCTGACAGAAGGGATGCCGCTTTTTGCACGCCTACATAGACTCCTGAGGATGTATTTGGATTTAGAGCTTTAAAGTTTTTGGGCTCAGTGTTTTAAAGGTTAGGGAATGGTTAGGGCCTATTCTTGGAGGTTTAGGAGTTTAGGGTTCAGGTTTCAAGGTTTAGGGATTGAGCGTTCAGGGTTTCACAGCCCCCAAAAGCACTTATAGACAAAAAACAACATAGAAAGCACACTCTGCTTTTAGAAGGGCATCCCGCTGAAAAGTTTGTGCTCGGCTGTCGCTTTGATTCCGGAGTGATACCCTAAACCCTAAACCCCTAAATCGTAAACCCTAAACCCAGTGATACCTCGAGACAGACCCGGCTCTGTGAAGCTGAGCCCGCATCTTCCCTCATGGTCCAAGGCGAAGAACAAGCTCACCTCCTCTTCTCCAACCTCGAAGCATGCAGGTCTCTCTCTCTCTCTCTCTCTCTCTCTTTTTACCGATGCCTTCAGGGGCCTCCAAGGGCAGATCCAGTGCTAGGAGCAACCAGGGCAAGGCTGGTGGAGGGCGGAACCGGAGCACGGGCCGAAGCAAAATAATAGCAGAAGAAACATAAGCGAATATCACAAGCGCATCGCCATGGACGTCAACATCACACCCCCCTTCCCACCCCCCAGGAAACCAAAAAGAGAAAGAGAAACGAGAAACGAGAAGGCAGACGAAAGCCACAGACGAAACCAGCCGTCCAAACTGCAACGTGCCAAAACTCGAGATCTGGCACGTTGTAGCCCCGAAATCGATGCACCCCGCGCGGCGGCATGCGAGCAACCGGCCAACACACCACAACCACCACCACCACCACCACCACCACCACCAACAAAAACAACAACAACAACAACAGCAACAACAACAACAACAACCGCCTGTCGGTGCGCCCCGTGTCCGGTGTATATAAGGCGGAAAAGGCGAAGCGGGATGATGCCAAGCCAGTGGT